AAGAAAAAGATAAACAGCGTGGTAGCTACACAAACAGCTCGAAGAGAAATCCTCTAGGCCTCCCTGTCAATCAAATTGTCACCTTATCCTGGAGCAGCCACTGGCAAGTGGTCATAATTATGGGAACATTGGAAAAGACTTTGTGAAATGAGAACTCACCTGGGAAATCCTGGATTTGTGATTTCAAAAATTAGGCCACAGCATACATCCTAGACCTCTCATGTTCTGCTTTTTTAAAATTTAAAACTAGATAAATATGTGTATATGTGTGTGCATACATGTGCGTGTAAGTGAGAAGCGATAGACTAACTTCCAGAGAATTCTCAGTGAATTATAAAGAATTAAGTACTCAGTGGAACCTAAAATTCCACAGTGAACCTCACTGCTGGCCACACATGTCGGAGCTCACTGCTTCAAGACCGTAGAGCTCTGGAGTTACCTCCGTGTTGACATATATGATGTTAGTGCTATTGACATTTGTTTTAGAACCAATGTCTGTCTTCCTGTCATCGTCCCATGAGTATGATGTGAACAAAAACAACTTAGGACAGACTTCCACTGTGAACTTGAACACTTGCTGTTTGGTCTGGGACATGCCAAATCCCCAAATTCTGGATTTAAAAGGTGGATCTCTAATCTTCTTATCTGTTATTTCTGAGTTTCTCGAAATAGTACAATAAATACAAATGAAATATATGTGACCTTCAAGTTATAGAACTTTGTTTTTACTGATTTTTTTCATCTATTTTTTTCCAGGTTAAATATACCAAAAGATACTTTAATTCCACTGACAAAACGGGATCAAAAGAAACTTGACAGTATCCTGAAGAGACCTTATGTTACTTGCCAACCATTTTGGAGAAAAGAAGTATGTTGCCTTTTAAAATTCAAGCGTTCTATGTATTATTGCCTTTTACTTTAGTAGTGGCTATTCACGTAATATTTTGAAAATATCCTCCTTGAAATTTTTGTAACCAACAACTAAGGTGGGTGTTGTTTGGCAGTACATGGGTGTTGAAACGTCGAATTATGAATGCTAATAAATAAGATCACCTGGATGGAGCTGATCTATTTTTATTCTTATCCTTATCATAGTTATAGACCCATTGTCTATGGCTTTATTATAGTTTATAAATGGAAAAAAGAAGATAAAAATTATAAAGACCCCAGACCATTCCTAGTTATTGAAGGCATCCACATAGGGTATTACCCTAATATTTTTAGCTGTAGCAGCTCTAGAATATCTTAGCTGACCCTAAAGGCTATTGCCCTTGATTTTGGAAAATAAAATAAGTCTAGTTTACTAGTTTGTCGAGTTGACAGAACTATAACAAAGGACTTTGTTATGACTATATTTTACTTTTATTGACAGATGGAAATAATGGCAGACTCTAAAATGAAGGCAGAAATTCAAGCTTTGACCTTCCTATCATCAGATTATCTTTCCAGAGTATACTTACCTAACAAATTAAAATTTGGAGGATGGATATAAAAATATATCAGAATATATCTTGTGATTGCAAGAAGATTCTCATTATTTTATATAATACAATTAATATTAAGGCATGAAGTACCTTATTAGGAACAAAAACAATAATAGTCTAAATTTGAGAGCTTGCAAATGAATTATAGTGTTCAGCAGTTTTTTCTTAGTTATGTTTTCTTTGCCTTCATAGTATAGGAATCATACCTCATTAATTCACTTGTAAAATTAGTGCAACTTATTTTGAATAAATATTTGGGTTGATATAGCCTTTAGTGCTTTATTTTATTTTTGAGAATAGTTTTTATTAATAATAGATTTATTTGAAAAATTTCTGAAGGCTTTTATCAGTTCTCGCCCAAATTCAGATCACTTGAATTCTTTTCAAGTCTAGGTTTATAGAACAAAAAACTTCTCCAGTTTTAAGATTTACAGAAACCTCAGATTTTAATAAGGCCTTTCTGTAACAGTAAAGATGTGACCTTTTACCCTCATAAACCCATCTTAGTTTTTCCAGAGGTGAATTTTATGATTTTATTCTGTACTTTCAGTAAACTTTTAACTGCACTGAAAAGTTTCTTGTAATTAAAAGCAAGAATATGTTTTTGTAGGAAAGCACAGAAACGCTGTTTACTTATTTTATCAAGATAAATGTTCATAATAATAATAGGTAGCATTTCTGAGAACTTATATCTGGCAATCACTGCTTACACATCGTTTTATTTAACTCCCCCAAGAGCCTCGTCTCCCTCTGACCTATAAGTTTACAGGTGGGGATACCGAAGATGTTCCTTGTCCAAAGCCACAGCCACGACATGGCCGAGTGGAAGCAACACTACTGTCGACCTCGAGAACAAGACCAGCTGCGGGCTCCAGTGCAAAATGGAAGCATAGGGTCCCTTGTTCAAAAGTCACTAAGAATGTCAAGACGAAAGCAACAGAGAATTAAACTAAGCATGGGCCCTTCTTAGCATGGGGCCCTCTGTGACAGCACAGGTTGTATGTACCCAAAGCTGGCCCTACTCAAGGTGTTCTAGTAATTATTAGATAAGGTAATAGAATAATAAAAGAAAATACCTTACTTTCTTTGCGTGCCAGATATTTTTCTAGGTCCTTTATGAACATTAACTAAATTCACCTTCACAGAAACCCTATAAGCGAGGTACTTTTCTTATCATCCTCATTTTAAGAACGAGACAACAAAAGTATAGAGAGGTTAAGAAACTTTCCCAAGGTCACATAACTACTAAGCAGTGGAGTTGGGACTTAAACCCAGAGTCTGGCTCCAAAGCATACTTTCACCATGACATTGGTACACATGTGTGGCCAGGGATGCACACTGCTTGGGGAAGGTCTACAATTCTTATTGTTGGCTAGGCGTCAAAGCAAGGCCCCTGATGCCAAGCCCGTGATGTCAACAATTATGTTATGTTCTCTGGTCACATTGGAACTAAATATTTCATTTCGAGAACATTCTGGTATACTGTTAATTTGACTTGTGAGACAATCAAAAATTCTAGAAAAAAATTTTTATAAATCAACTTTTTTCTTTGAATTTATACCATATATCTTCTGTTAACATCTAATTATATCATTACACTTTGCTAAGTTTTATAAAGGAGAAATTACTAATTGAGAAATATATGGTTAAGCCACAAAATATCTGGATCAGGATATACTGTCAAAATAAGAAGGAACGAAAAATCTACATGTTATTAAAATTTAAAAATAAATTTGAAAAAGGCTTACAGATACATTTGGTTTTGATAATTAAATTCATCTCAAGTTTATGATTGGAAACTTATGTAAAATAATTTTTATTTGGGTAATGAAAATGGTAAGAGAAAAATACATTATCTTTATTATGTGCAGATGAAAAATTAATGTTAGTAGCTATTTGGGAATCATCTAGAATTCTAACTATTAAGATTTGTTTCTAAAAAAGATTACTGTAAAATAGGCAGCTATTTAAAATGGCACCTGATGACAGACATCCCTTCTACCATCATCTACTGTATTTGTTTTAAGTATTTTCATAATTTTAATCAACAAAAAACATTTGGATTGGAATCTGTTTATAATTAGAATGAATAGAAACGGGTGCAACAAAAAAGCGTTCAGAGAATCATTTTTCCTTGAAGGCTCATAATTACCTTTGCAAAATAAAAGCTCTTGTGATGTCCCCAGGTTTCTGGGAAATTTAACTTTCATCATTGATGATGCTAATTGATTTTAGAAATGATTTCATGGGGTAAAAATCATATTGCACTTTCTACAAAATAGGCAAAAAACACTCCAGGATTTCCACCTATGGCTTCCTTTAATGAGACTGTCTCAGTTGACCTGTTCGATGTAGATACCTGTTTAGTCATGCTGAAAAAAAATGCTTTCAAAGCTAAGCCACGTGTACATGTACATTAAAAAATTTTTTTCAACAGAATGTTTTTGTAGTAAAGTACTGTTGCTTTTGTTCGCCAGTAAAGGTATGTAGCCCAAGAAAACGATCCTGTAAAAATAAGCCAAGGTCGCCCTCTGCTGGCAGAAGCTCTACTGTGCTCTTAAATCTTCCCAATATTTGCGAAAGACATTTCTTTAAAACATTTTCAAGGCATTGTTTTAAGGAATGGGAAAAAAGAGTCTGAGACACAACAAGAGGGTGGGGAAAATTGAGGATTTCTGCGTGAGACTGATGACTTGACAGAAACCCATTTTGTGTCATCAGCTTTAGATGTCCCCAATTCCTTGTAAAGCGACACTTAATGTGTGGTACTTTGCAACGGAGCTATTTATAAAAACTTAATGTATTAAAAAACTTAAATTAAAATTTCAGAATTAAAGAGCGCTTCAAATGAAAAGGAATTCATACAAAATTACATATTGCTTCTCTTCTACCTAACCTAGAAATGGAATATAAACTGTGCAGTCATTCGTAAATATCCCCACGTGTAGAAATTGTAGGATTTACCAGTGTCAATGATAGCCATGACCAAAACTTAATTTTAATTTTTTTATTTTAAATAATTTTTCACCCATAATCTAAGGCTCAACAATCATACCCATGGGTACAGATTGTAGTGATTCCCTCTCTTATTTCTAGGGGGAGAAAGTGGGATGACTCGCCACAATCTGTCATCTGTGGAGGTGTTGAGTCAGATTTGGGGGGCAGGCTGCTTGCATCCCAATTCAACTTCTACTCACTGCCCCTGTGGCTGAGACACGCTATCACCTGGCCTTGGTTTTATCAGTGGTAAATAATAATAATATCTACTCTACGGAGTCATTGTGATGATTGAAGGAGATCATGGACTTGCAATTCACTAGAAAAGACACTGCCCTCTACCAGTTCGGGGTGCGGATTTACCAAGGCAGTTGCCGACTTACAGTCGACTTCACGAACTTTCGACCAATCCGCAAACTACTGGCACGAGGACTTCCTCTTGGCGTCAATAAGGCTTCTGCGCATGTGCCTCCGCCTGGCGGCAGGCGGAGCCTTTCTCTTCCTTGCCTTCCGGGCGACGCAGGAAGTGGCTCCGGGGCGCATGCGCCTCGTCTCCACGGTACTTGAAGTAGTTTCCTCCGCCGGCGTCTCGGGACCCCGGCTCTCAGGATTCCGGTTCGCGGCTTCTCGCCCTCTCCCCTTCCTCGGCGCAGCGGCTTCGCAGGCTCCAGAATCCTCCTGCTCCTCGCAGCCGGCCTCCCTCCGCGGCGCGACTCTCAGGTAGGCCCGGGACCGCCCGCCCTCGCTCCGCCGCCATGGCGCCGCCGAGGCCGGGTCCCCGTGGCGGAGTACGCCTCGCAGCCAGGTGCTGGGCGCGGGCCCGGCTGTTGGCCAGCTGCGTTAGTGGGTCCTAGGAGCGACGTCGGAGCGGGAAGGGGCCTTAGCAGGCACCTCGGGTCTAAACCCTCTCGTTTCTCTTGTGGGGGAAACCGAGGCACCGGCAAGGGTCACAGAGTTGATGGCAGAGTCTGTGGCCTGTGCCCTTCCCCATTACACGTCTAGCTTCTTACCAGACACGTGCCACCTCCTCGGACACTTTTCCTGACCGTTTTTCTGCCGAAGGGCGCCCCCTTTTCGTCTCTCCCACGCCTGCCTGCCTCATTCCCTTGGTTGCACTCACAACTCTCAAACCGCGTCTTTCTCTTTGTTTCTGTCTTCCTCCGCCAGGTGTGTGTGATGCACGTGTACCCAGCTCCCCGAGGCAGGTCTCTATCGAATGGCAGCCGCCGTGGGCCAGGCGTGCTGTGCGTTAGGGAAGGACCCAGACCTCTCTCTCTGGCCTTGAGGAGCTGACATTCTCCTGGGGACGGGATTGTAAACAAGAAATTCCAGGTTGTGGCAGGTGCTATATGAGAAAAGGGGGATGTGATCGAAAGTTCGATATGTTCCATTAGGAAAGCAGGGACGCCTCTGAGGAAGGGGCCTTGTTAAAAAAGATATGTCTAACAGCTTCATGGAAGTGTAACTTACCTACTGTAACCCATCGAAAGTGTACGTTTTGATGAATTTGGAGAGTTTGATAGAGCTGAGTAAACATCACCACTGAACAGGTTAAGCACATCTCCATCACCTCAAAAAGTTTTCAGGAGGCACCTTTTGAACTGGGATCTGAAGATTCAAACTGAGACAGCTGGAGACTTGGGGAAGGGTGAATAGTCCCTGCCTGAAGGAAAGCTGGTGGGAACGCTCCAAGGCAGGGGTGAGCTTGCCGTGTTCACAGGCAGGGCGGATGCCAGCAGAGCCGGGTGGCTGCAGTGCAGCAAGGCCAGCGAGAGTAGGGTGGGGGGATTGGGTAGGTTGGAGACAGGTGTCTTCTTCATAACGTGTGGTCCACGTAGGCTGGTTAGTACTTGAATGACCCTTGCT